ATATAAAGAAACAAGGCAAAGGAACAGACAAAAGAAAATGAAAACAAACCCTCAGACTCTGACAATAGAAAGGCGGTTACTGTATAGAGTAAAGACAGGCGACTGGAATGGGTAGAAGGGTCAAATTTGTTGGTAGCAGATGATGGCTGGACTTTTGGTGGTAGGTATGTTATGATACACACATGTACCTGGAACCTATACAGTGTTGTAACTAATGTTGCATTAATAAAATAATTATATTGGTTCATAACCCAATAAGACTGTGTCTTTAAAAAAAAAATCTGGTAAATTTGGATACAGAAATGCACAACAGACTTACGTAAAGTCATAAATGAAAAAGAAGATGACCACTGCAAGCTAAGGACAGAGGTTTCAGAAGAAATCACCCATGCAGATGCAGACACCTTGTTCTGAGAGTTGTGGCCTCCATAACTATGAGAAAATAAATATTTTAGTCACTCAATCAATGGTAATTAGTTTTGGCAGCCTCATCAAACTAATGTAGTGAGACAGAGAAAGTAGGATGGGGAAAGGGAGATGTTCTACTATCTCCAAGGTCATCTTGTGCCATCATCACCTCCTTCCGACCAAGGTGACCCTTACTTAGTTTTCAAGAACATAGATTTTTAAGAGGGCATAAACCTGCTTCCTGATCTCCTTGGAGATTTAAATTTTTCTGTGTTATGTTGGAACTCATGATTATTCCTGTTTTTTAGAAATTTTTTATGTAATAATCCTCTTTCATTCAAGATAGAAGTCTTTGAAAAGTTGAATATCTGCAAAAGAAATAATGGGGTGACCTGTAAATTGACCAACATATAAATTGACTCTCTCAGATATAATAAAATTACTTAAGAACACTGAGTATTCAATTCTGTATGTCAGTAAAACTTACCAATTGTAAATTTATTGCCATCAAACAACATTAATGAATTAAGATATCATTAAAATATTAATGTCTGCTTGTTCTTCTTTTTCTCTTTTTGTTTCTTTGTCACCCTTACTGCATTTCACCAAAGTAATTTGGCAAAACTTTGAAAGTCCAGTGGTTTTGGGTGGAGTGGAAGCTGTAGAAGGAAAATGATATTATAGGTGTGATTTGTCTTTTGGGGAAAAAAAAAAAGTAACTGGAAATTGAAAAAGTCAACAGGAAAGTTAGCAGAGTTAAAAATTTAAACCTCATAATAAACATCATTTGCTAATATATTCAGTCTGGGTCTCTGAGTAAAATTAGCTCAAAATCTCTGGACTATAACTAATAAAAAAGATTATCTTGGAAGGTATGGGCAGAGTTTCAAGACAGAACATGTGTAAGAATCAAGGAGACAGAGAAAATGGATTATGGAACAGAAATGGAATTCTAAGTTCCACATGCAATGGGCATCTAAGTATTGCTCCATAAAAGACCAGCAACTTTCTGAACTTGGAAGATTAAAGGCTGTTACTCTACGGAATCATGGAAAGTTACCACGGAAATGCCAATATATGATAAATATAAATGCTTGGGATTTAGGACATGTTCTATGACATGTTCATGAATAAATAAATAGATAAAACTATAGCTGTCCAATAATGTAACCATTTGCTGAAAGCTATTTTAAAAACTTTGCCTTTGATTCTGCAGGGTTATCAGGTATCTTTAGGAAAAATGAAAAGGGTGGATGTAGGCTGTTGTCTTATTGAAGGACAAAAATCTCTTAAAAGAAAAATGTTAAGAAAAGAAGAAATAAATCCAAGATCATATATCCTATGTTCTCTTTTTTTTTTTTTTTTTTTTTTATAGAGGCATGTTTTATTTATTTATTTATTTGTTTGTTTGTTAGTTTTGTTTATACATGCACTGGGTACAGTCAGAAGCACGGGAGGGTGAGAGAATTCACCAGAGCCAGAGTGGGGAGCAGAGCAGGCAGAAGGACCGAGGTACACTGCTGAGGGGAGCAGCGGGCGGCAGGAGAGGTCTGCGCACCATGTGGGACCCTACTCTGGTGGCCGGGGAGCAGCCGGGGATCGAACCAGTGCTGCAGAGGCTGCGGGCAGCTTTGCAACCCAGCGCTCAACCACTGCGCCACTGGGGAGGCCCCATATATCCTATGTTCTCTTGATGCCTCTCTGATTTAACATCTTTTCTGGAAACTTTAAAAATATACATTTATACTTCAGGGAAAGGAAGATCTTTTAATATCAACATTAGGGTTTTGTTTTAATGTAAAGGCAATGGAAAACTAAAATATAGTTCCAATGGTAAATATATGTAGAATTTTTCAAGTGCTAAAAACCTACATTTTGCCCACTCATTCCAGCAGTATAAATAATGAAACCAGATGACCTCCGGTGGTGACAGGTTACGTTCAGCTTTTGACTATGATTCTTGCATTTACTCTAAGCTAGACCATCTTTAAATCTGATGAAGAACAAAATGATAATTTTATTGCACAATACGAAATAAAGCTCAGTCATATAAATTGAGCTTGAACCTAGAGCATTAATTTATAATAACTTGAGCTACCTATAATTATACAAACATTTATTCTAAGTCAGTAAAGCAGAGCAATTTTATAATCTAGTAGTTCAGTTTCCCAGGATGGTACAGGGCTGATGGTTAATTAGTTTGCTCCTTTATTTCACAAGAACATTTGAAAATTAATTTATTTCCTGTGGTAACTTAGCTAATTTAATGATGTTTTTCACTGGAGATATCTTCCTTGGCAAAAATCAGTATCTTCAAAAATTTAAGAAATTGTCTTCATTTGATTACCTGTGTGCCTATGGTACAAAAACAAATTTCTCCCTATAGAAAGTTTATTTTATTAATAATCAAAGGTTACAAGGTTTTCTTTATTTCCTCTTGGTACCCAAATCATTTATTTGAATAATACTTTTTTATTGTTCACAATATTTAGAGTCAATAAATGATAAAATTCCAAGAAACTAAAAGTTAGAGATTTTACCATATAGCTTTCATTACTCTTCAATATACTGAGATAGACCACCTGTCAGACATTTATGTATTTATTTCATGGCAAGATATCCAATTTTCCTTTTTCTGCAAGTTATTCCAGTTAGCTAGAAATATTTTTACTTTAGTCTTAAATTGAATCACCAGGGGGCAAGTGTGCATTCATTTCCGTATATATCACAGAATGAATTTCCACTATAACTTTCCTGTGGGAACACTCTGCTACCAGACAAGCATTTTAGCTGCTTTCCATCAGGTCTTCTATACCTGCTTATGGAATGCATAACTACTTTGAATTCTGTTTCTTATTTTTATTAGACTGATTTATAGAAATGAATGTCTTAGATGCATTTCGGAATGCATTAGGGGTGTTGGGGCACAGGCAAAATGCCCCACCCCTCTGTTTTGTTTTTTTTTCTCAAACTGGATGAATAATCAAAACAACATCAGGTGTGTCAGCAAAGGAAAAATCAATATAAAAACCTGCCATGTAGATAGATTTCTCTGATATATTATTATTTCTGATGAAAATTCTAATTTGGGTACCACCCCAGTTTTCATTCTTCTAGAGAGTTAAAGGAGTGTAAGCATTTTTTTCTGAGCTGCAAGACCTTCATTGACCTTAGTTTGAAATAATCCATATGCTAAAGTGACAGGTTTTGGAAAGGCCTGTTCTGGATATCTTAAATTCACTTAAGTAATATCATGTAAATAATTTTGACAATGGTTCCCTTGGGCTACTTCCCATTTGGCAAAAAAAAAAAAAATCAGCTCAGTTATAAATTTTTGAGTTATTTATTTATTGGAGAAATAAGAGCAAATGCACATTTAATTCAATCATTTATTACTCTTCTTTGATCATTTCTTAGAAGTTTGAGATTCTCACGAACTAAGATATGACACCAATAATATATCATTGAACTAAATAAGTTATGAAATTATGCTTGCACACACATTAATTCTAATGCTACGGGTGATTTATTTTGAACTACACTACTGCAAACCTTAAAAAAATTCAGTCATTGGGAAATTAGAGGCCTAAAATATGCAGATTTGTAACACACACACTGCAAAATAAACCAAATATCTCTCAGCATTCAAAGCAGACAATAATAAATAGTATTTCATCATTAAGCAGTAAAAATGGCTAACATTTATTTAGCCTGTGAAAAACATTTTAATAAACATTTTTCCTTAATCATCTCATTCGTCAAAAAAGCACTATCTGTAAAGAATATTTTTATTGTCCATTTACTATTAAGGAAAATGAGGCACAGAGAGTTTATAGTAACAGGTGATTATATAAATGAGTATCAGAATCCAGTCTTAAACCCAGAAGTTTGACACTAAGGGTAATACAGGAGAAATCGAAAATTAAGTTTTCTCAAGAAAATACTGCACATGCACTGAAAACTAGACATTTGTATTATAACTCTTTCTGTCGTGAGTGTCAGAAAATAGAACCCAAATTGAATTGTGGAAAAGGAGGATTTATTGGTTAACAGATTTGACAGGTCCAGCAGTATAAATAACTTCAAGAATAACTTGATTCAAGGGCATACACAATACATCTCTCACTATTTGCAGTCATGTTCTCCTCTATCATGGCTTCTATATTTAGGTTTCATTTGGTATCCAAATAGCTCTCAGCAGCTGTAAGTCTCCATCATATACCAGGTTAAATTCCAAAGAGAACGTGGAGGAGGGAGAGGCAGAGGAAAGACAGGAGAAGGCAAAGAGGGATGATTCCACTGAAGTCCAGTCTCTGTTAAATTGTTGTAAAGCCATTCCTGAAACAATCCCTGGGATGAGAACAACGTGATTTGTTTGATCAGGTCTGATTTGTATGCTTATTCTGGTTGTAGAATTTTAGCCAATCAAGCAAATCATCACTCACTGATCTTGGGAGATGTTTCAATTCCTAGAGAAAAAAAATGGGGTGCAAATACTGAAGGATGGGAAAATACCAGACAGTAAAAAGATAGCTACTGTATAAATAAATGTAGTCCGTCAAGTGATAGAAATTACAACTCTCTTCTCATAGGTGCACCTGTGTCTTGGAAAGTTCACAGTGCTGACAACAATCAAATGGCAGTTTGATATGTGGTAAGTATTGGATTTTTGTTCTCAGAAATACTAGCAATAGTGTAATTTCATTTTATGAATATAATGTGAGCAACTCTCAATATCCCTGTCAATTACTTATAAGAAATTATTGCTTATACCTAAAAATAAAAGGCAGTGGGATAATACGTCTTTTGTCTGTAAGAACTCAGTAAGAGAATAGTTTTATTTTATTGGTTCTTCCCCATTAGACAGATACTCAAAATCTACAGTTTGGGAACATTTGAATCATAATCCTAAAATACTTACCATGGCATACAACATACTTCAAAATTTAATCTACTTACTTTATGGAACACTACCTCCTCCCACAACTCTCGAACTCTCATAACAGAAAGATTTCATCACTTTTAAAACTCTGTCCCATCATTACTTTAATTTTTTTGTGTGTTGTTTAAAGTTCTAGACAGTTCTTTCTTGTATCCCTGTCTTCACACTTGATAATTATTTTTCATAACTAAATATGCTACTTCTGGAAATTTTCCTGGACAATCCCAGGTAAGTCTAGTTTCTACTACAAAATATATTTGCATTACACAATGCTATTATTGACTATATTTGAATAATCAGCATTTATATTTCCTTCTCAAAATTTGCACTTTTTAGTGACAAGCATTGTGCTTTATTGATCACTGTCTTCCTAAAACCAAATATAATATGGTGTCTAGAATATAGTAGGAACTCATACATATATTTCATTAAATCTAAAATGTCAGCAGATATTAGGCGCACCATTATGTTATATAGCATAAGGAAGAAAATCATAACTTCATCTGTTAGAATTTTTATTTTATAGTCTCTTATAGGATTTGTCATGCATTCTTTAAATGTATTCATATTGGGTTTGCCTTTTCAGAATTGTTTTCAACTCAGGTGGATTCATATCTATTTTTTTCACACTCTACAAATCTCTGTACCATTATCAACACTGATGAGCTAGCATTTCTTTAAAAGAGTCTCTCAACAGGTAGCCAGGATTTTCTTTCAAGTTGCTGATATGATTTTCTCATGTTTTTTTTGCATTGGACCTCTTTGATTTTAGTAGATCAAGGATTCACAACAGGATTTAAATAGGGCTTAAATGTTTATTGATAAATATGTCTATAGTTTATAGTTTTCTTTTGAATAAACAAGAAAAAAAATGGTACACGCATTAGACTGAAGTATGTTCAAAACTAATAAATAACTAAAATAAAATAATGTATCCTAAATTTATTTCACTTTTAGCATTTTATAATGAAAGCTTTCAAACATATAGAGAAAGTGAAAGATTTTTAAACTAAATAATCATACACCCTTTACCTAGGTGACATAATATTTGATTTGATATATTTATTACATATCTAAATATCAATCAGTCCCTGTATCCATTCATAAACAAATTATTTTTATGCACTATATAGTTGCAGATATCAGCATATTTCCCTTTAAAGACTAAAGATGTATACAATTACCTAGAGTTTAAGCTTGTTCCCTTTGAGATAAAATTTGCAAACAATAAAATGCATCAATAAGGCCTCCCCTGGTGGCGCACTGGTTGAGTGCTGGGCTGGGAAGCTGCCCGCAGCCTCTGCAGCGCCAGTTCGATCCCCGGCCACCAGGCGAGGGTCCCACATGGCGTGACAGACGTCTCCTGCTGCGCCCGCTCACTGCTCCCCTCAGCAGTGTATTTCGTCAGTCTGCCTGTTCTGTTCCCCACTCTGGCTCTGGTGAATTCTCTCACCCTCCCATGCTTCTGACTGTACCCAATGCTTGTATAAATAAATAAATAAATAAATCTTTTTTAAAAAATAATCATTTACCAGTCATTTTTCAGAGATGCGTTCTTGAGTGCAACCTGATAGACAGAATATTACCATCATCCCTGAAAATTCCTTCATGTCTCCTCAATTTAAAGCACTGTGCCAGAGACAAATACTGTTTTGATTTATTTTTGTATATTTTAGAATCTCTTGTAGAAGAATTGATGTAATTTTCATTCTTCTATCAATCTCTTTCCCTCAATGTTTTGAGATTTATCCATGTTTTTATGTGTATCGCGAGTTCATTCTGTTATTACTGAGCAATATTCCATTTGTATATACAACGTGTTCATCTATTCTGTTATTGATAGACACCTGGGTTGTTTCCAGAAAGTTTTGGCTACTACAAATGCAATGGGTATGAATGTTCTTGTGTCATCTGTGGACATACTTTATTCTATTGGATAAATACCTAGGGTTGGAACTTCTGGGTCATGGGTAGATAGATATGTGTTTGACTTTATATTAAACACCCAAATATTTTTTCAAAATAATTGCAACTTTTCAAGCTCGCTTCAATAACATTTCAGTTTCCACTTTCTTTCTCTACTGTCTTTTTTTAAAAAAAGATTTATTTACACAATCACTCTATAGTGATTGTACACTGTATAGTGTGCAGTCAGAAGCACAGGAGGGTGAGAGAATTCACCAGAGCCAGAATAGGGAACAGAACAGGCAGACTGACGAAATACACTGCTGAGCGGAGCAGTGGATGCGGCAGGAGAGGTCTGTCATGCCATGTGGGACCCTCGCTGGCGGCCGGGGATTGAACCGGTAGTGCAGATGCTGCGGGCAGCTTCACAGCCCAGTGCTCAACCGCTGTGCCACCAGGAGAGGCCCACTCTACTTTCCTTTTTTTTTAAGATTTATTTATTTATACATACAAGAACTGGGGTACAGGCCAGAGGTGTGGGGGTTGAGAGGATTCACCGGAGACAGAGTGTGGAACAAAACAGGCGGACTGACTGAAATACACTGCTGAGGGGAGCAGCAGGCGAGTCAGGAGAGGTCTGCACACCATGTGGGTAGCTCCCTGACTGGCCAGGGATCGAAATGTTGCTGCAGAGGCTTCAGATAGCTTCACAGTGCTGTGCTTAACTCCTTGCACCATCAGGGAAGCCCTAATTTTCTCTTAATTTCTTGGCAGTATTGAGTGTTCTCAGTCTTTTTTATTTTAGTCTCCGGTAATATGTAGGGTATTCTCTTCAAATTTAAGTATGATTTTTTAATGATGACCAATGATAGTGCCCAATTTTTATGTTTGTTGCTCATTCTTATATGTCTTTTCCATGAAACATCTATTAAATTCTTCTGCTAATTTATATGTTGTTAACTATTTAAAAAAAAAAAAACAGTAGATCTTCATATTTCCAGGATACCTTTGCTTTGTCAAATATAGTTTTCACAAATAATTAAAATAGTCTTCCACACATGTAGTTTTTATATCATTTCCTTAGTGACATTTTTAATAAATAAAATCTTTCTTGGTGAAGTCTAGAAGATTTATTAAAAATGAAAAAAAACTAAAGAATAATAAACACAGAAACACAATGAAAGGAAGAACAACCAGAAGAAAGAAAAACACAGATGGTTGTTTTGTTGTTATTGTTTTTGTCAGGACTAAGGTGGCATTTGTAAAGAATTAGAAAATAGGAAGTTATAAGCTTATAAATTTTAGAAGGTAAAAAGTGAAATGCAAAAAAATGAAATACAAATCAGAACCAGCTTTGCCAAAATGCAATTTACAAGGGGGAAAGAATATTACAGAACAAGTTTATAACCAACTAAAGTCCCATCACATGGCACTTAAATGTAAAACCCATTTCAAAAAGCACTTAGTAAATATTCAGCTATAGTTAAAACTGGAAAAATAATTAAAATCAATTTGGTTAGAATATGAATTTAAAACACATATATCAAATGAAATCAAAGGCAAATGGTGTATAATAAGTTGAAATAAATGATGCTTGAAAGAGCTTGCAATAAAAAAATACAAATTATAAAGGTACATTCTCAGAGAGAAGAAAGAATACCATTTGACATTTGTTGCTTTCCAAATTTCTTCTTTTTATAACACATTTATTTCCATGGTCTTTGTATAAAACTTAAATAAGAAACAGACACATTATTGTTCTTTTTTTCAGAGACTACTTTTGATTCAGATATATTTGGAATGGAGTTATATTATGTTATAATTTTTTTAGCCTGTGACATTAAAGAGTTCTTCATTCTCAATCCTTAGAGAATTGAATGGAATTTTCTATCTTGAACTTGTAAAAATGAATAAACCTAGCGAAATAGAAATAATAAAAACAATAAAAAACAGAAAGTGTTCCATTTTGAAAGAACTTTAGAGAGATTTGGTTCTCTGGGAAAAAAAAATCCATGGCCTATATATGTGCTCCTAAAATTTCAAAGTTATTGCTGTCTACATTTGATTTATGGGCATGCATAGATACCATTACCTAGTGTAAATAAACTATGTAATAAATAATTTAGTTTCATTCTTCACTATGATTTTTGAATAACAAAAATATACCAAAGAAAGATGGTAAAAACTTTCAAAGCCAGAAGTGAAATTTATTGGATTTACTCAAATTATCTTTTTTCTCTTCTATAATAATTTAAAAAACATAATCACCCCTATTGAAAATTAGAATTCAACTTAGTAACTAGGTAAAAATCATTAATGCATATGTAGTACCTATATAGTTTACTATGCTACTAAAGTGGGTAAGTTCTGGGACCTTAAAATTTTCACTTCAAATCCTGTCTCTAGATGCTTCAATAAATTATTAACTTCCTTTTAACTCAGCTTTATTATCTGAACTGCGGGGATAATGTTACCTTATAGATTTATGGTAAAATTAGCAAGCTTGAAGTGTTCCTTTAACACTACTCTTACAGTTATTTGTATACAATACACAAGGAACTGGAATTCAAAATTGAAAACTATGAATATTACCAACCATCAGTATTTGCTTGTCAGTAATTTCTAGTCTCAATCACAGTCTGTAATCTTTAAAAGTAAGAGTGAAAGATGAGACATGTGGAGGAATATTAAAATAAACACAGGATTTTTAGGAAGAAAATGTGCCTGCCTAGAAACCATGTAAAGCCTTCTGGATTCAAATGCAGGATACGGGTGGA